GTGAATGTGGAGGAAGCTGAAACAGCAGCTAAGGTGACGATGTTACAAGGAATGCTGAGATTGCACCATGGGAGTGTAAAGTTACTTAACTTGTGTGGTGGTTTCTAGTCTAGCTCTTCTACCCTGAACCAGAACACACAGTCTGTCTTGGTATCAGACAGCTGAGCGGTGTGTACAGATCCTAGCAGCTCTAAGCGTGCCTAGCATGACCTGTCAGAGCAGGTGAGGAAGAGTCACAGGTAGGGTCTAGCAGCCATGACTCTGCCCTTTAGGACAATGTGAGGGACCAACTCCTCCTCTAAAAGAATCTCACAGCTGTTTTCTTCCCTGTGCAGGAACCCTTGACGGATGCAGAAAGGATGAAGTAAGTGTCCTGCTCCCCCTCTATGCCTGTCATACTGCAACTGTGTGGGTGCTGATTCCTCACATCCTGCCTGTGCCACCTGCACAACAAAGCTGACTGGCCCTGTGGGCTCTTCTCAGATCTTCAATTTTCTTGGGGCCATGTGGGCAGAGCTTTAGTCTGTGCCTTGCCAACCTCTGCCTTGCATGTCTCTCACCCTGGAGGGGGAGGGAACATAGACCCCCAGTGCAGGTGCAGGCAGAGGAGTTGGTGGGTGTGAAAGAAAGTAGGAGGTGAAGCCTTTAATACAGGTGGAGAGAGGAGTGCCTTTTTTAACCCTTCTTCTTGTTGCCACTGTTTTTGGTGTAAGCCACCAGAAGCAGTATGCAGAGGCCTGCTGCTGACTGAGGGTGAGAACTGAGCTCTTTGCTGGTAGTGGTGTGGAGCACAGACAGCTGCTAACACTGAGCTCCAAGCCATAGTGAGGAGAAAGCTTGCACTGCCGGAGAGAAGCTGTGCTTCTGGGTTTCTCTGAGCAACTGAGCACGAAGGAATGAAAAACAACAGGAAATCCTTCTGACCACCAGGCATGTCCTGGCTGGGGAGGAACGGAGCAGTTTGCATTGGAATGGGGTTGACTGGCAGCTGTGATCACATCTGTAAATGCACCCCACCACCTCTGCTTCTGGGCTTAAGGCTGTATGGAGTCCTCTTTCCACCATGTATTAAAGATGTGAGGGCTTTTGAACAGTTTCAGGGGAGGAGAAAATGATTTTACTCTTTTTGCCTTCAACTCTTCTAACCTGGACTGGGATAAATTATTGAGTGGGTTTCATTCACCAGTGAGGGACACTGGAGCTGCGCGGCTCATCTGGCTAGTGGGCTTCATCCAAGCACTGTAACCCGAGAAGGAGTTGGGAGCCATGGCTGGCCAGCTGGCATGTGCTTCTTTGCCCCTGCTCCAAGAGAGTTTGAATCTCGCTCTCCTGACAGAGATGCACCTCTTGCTGCGTGTGCTGGAGTCTCCTGCCAGTTCAGTTCCTGACTTCCTGGGGCCCTTGTGTGGGGTCTTGGGCCCTACGGCAGGGCAGTGGGGTGGGGGTGCTGGTGTGGAGTGCCCCTTGTGCACTCAGTGGTACCTTGTTCCTGCGTGCCCCAGGCTACTGCAGCATGAGAATGAGGAGCTGCGCCGACGGCTGACATATGTGACTAACAAAATGGAGGCGATGGAGAGGGAGCTGGAGTCAGGTCAGGACTACCTGGAGATGGAGCTGGGCCAGAACCGTGAGGAGCTGGAGAAATTCAAGGACAAATTCCGTAGGTATGAAAAAGAAAATGAGAGGTGTAGAGTTAGAGAGATCCCTCCCACCAAGGACTCCCTCAGCTGGCACGAGCAGGCTGGGCCCTGTTGTGTAAATCAAAGGCATACTGCATCCTCAGAAAGGTGCACCCCTAGACTGTAGGGGAGTTAAAGGCTCTGCAGCCATTACTTTCTCCAGGGTACAGTGTAGGAATGCTGCCAGCACGAGGGGCTGACAGCAACAGGGAATTCTTCATCTATTGGATGTAAGGCAGGATCCAGCTTGGATGCTTACCCCACATGTACAAAAGGAGCCACTGATGGCTGCAAGAAAATACATCACCACTTTACCTGAAAAGTACCTCAGTTAAAAATCAATGCCAGTCACTGGTCACATGCTTATGCATGGCATAGCTCAGAGGAGTCCTTCAAAGTCATTCACACCCTCCCCTGCAAGATCCTTTCACCTAGCCAACCTCATCTTGCCTCCAGTAACTTGGGGTCTGGAGGCCATTATGTCGCAGAGGTGAGGCATAGTTAATATGCCTGGTTGTCTTAGTACTGTGAACACTGATCTTTCAGGAGTTGTGGAGTTGTGGTTTGCTTGGCAGCTGTGAAAGAGACTTGAGTAGGTGTCTGAGATCCATTCCCATGTATATCTCGTTTCTGTAGGTTGCAGAACAGCTACACTGCTTCCCAGAGAACCAACCAAGACCTGGAGGAAAAGCTGCATGCCCTGGTAAGTGCCCTGTTAAGACACTACTGAGAGGAGGTGGAAGAGACCTGTGTGCTAGGAGCAGATGGGAGAAGGGGTCCTGGCTTTACCCAGCAGATGTGGCAGTGGGTGAGGGGTGAGATTCTGGCCATGACCATCTACTCCCCATTCTGGCTGGTGTTGTGAACTGGTTTCTTGATTTACTGAGCCCCTACTTGGTCATGCATGTGAGCTTTGGTTCCCTACAACATAATTGCATGGTATTCCGTCATGTTGCTTCAGTCCCTCTCAAAATGCCAGGGATGTGTCAGCCAGTCTTGGGGTGGTCATCCTGGGAGGATGGGGGCAGTCAGAGCAGAGCCAATGTGCGTGTATGTCTGTTATGTGCATTCATAACACTCATGGCTGTTTCTTTTCTCTCCCTCCCCTCTCTCTCTCTCTCTCTTTTTTTCTCCTCCCCACGCTGCTGCTGGCACACGCTGGGTGCACTCACCTCTCAGGCCTCTCTCAGCCAAAGCTGGATTTTTGCAGTTGCGTCTTTTCGTTTGTGTGTTTTTTCTTTTTCCTCTTTACATGTCTCAGCCCGTTGGTTTCATTGTCAGTCCCACATACACCATCCCGGATGGAGGGGCCCCAGCTCTCGTCCAGCCAAGGGCTCACCTGGTATCCAGCAGCTGCCCGCAGATGCAGCAGGTCCTAGCTTGCAGTGCTCCATCTTAAGAGCATTTGACTCTAAGCCAGCTGGAGCATGGCGTGCTGGGAAGTGGTGCCCATAAGCTGTGGCACTGCACAAGATGTGGATGGCTGTGAGCCTTGTTTGCTCCCTTTCCTTACCCTTCTGGGCTGTGAGCAGGCAAGTCAAACAGCTGAGATGCTGATTGCCTCCATGTAGCCCAGGATGAGATTTTTTTTTTTCAAGTTCTAGCACTTGAATTTCTTGGGTTAATATTCATTGTGCTGGCACCTGAAGAGACTGCATATGTGGGAAGCATTGCCCTCCCCTACCCCCTTGTGTGTCACTGTGCTGTACCCCCGATGCATAGCTGGGCCCTGGTGGTCACAGCCTCAGAGCAGCCTGGGGAAGTGTTGGAGGAACTTCTTGAGAAGAGGATGGCTTGGTTGTTCTGAGCTGTTGCCTCTCTCTGCTGTTACATCTGGGTTTGTATCAGCCCTGTGCCTGAACTGTTAGGGAGTCTAAAGAGGCAAGATTGCCTGCTTTAGGGAAGGTATTACCTGAGCTCCAGATGAAGCTGCACAGGTCCTTTTTCTTACTAGAATAAGGCTTGAGCTCTTTCGAGATCGTGCCCTCTCCCTGCCAAACAAACCTTTTGTCCATTCAGCATTGACTGCTGGATCTTTATGGGCAGTATTCTCGTTCTGTTGCCCCAGAGAAGAGGGCTAGGTATCACAAGTTCAGAGGTTTTTGCTGCTGGTGGCAGGATGGGATTGACTGCTCGAAATCACTAGCTTTCCACCAGGCACCGTGTGAACCAGGGCAGAGAGGAAACATGGTTGTGCTGCAAGAAGAGATACTGCATTAAGGAGGTTCAAACTCAACCTGTTGTCTCTGTAACTAGCAGAGTGGCTGGCTCCATTTGGCCTTTGGAGTCCCTCCCTTTGTGAAGAGCCAGGCTGTCCCCCTTGTCTGTCTGTCTGGAAGTTTTTGTATCCCAGCTGAACATGTCATTGTGCTATGCTTGGGCTGAGGTGGGTGGTGAAGCCAGGTTCTTCTGTGCTGGGGAGATTTACACCTGGTGTTCTTGCATCCCAGATCAAAAAGGCAGAGATGGACCGCAAGACGCTGGACTGGGAGATTGTAGAGCTCACTAATAAATTGCTTGATGCCAAAACCACCATCAATAAGCTGGAGGAACTCAATGTAAGTGTCAGTCTGCAAATGGCTGTGGAAGTGTGTGAGGTGTGGGCTTTTCCTCTTGTTCAAAGTCATTAGTGTAAAGGAACATCTGAATTACTTCAGTGTGTATGAAAGTGTGGGAGCTGCACACAACAGTAGGGACAGACAAACAGAAAAGGGTCTGAGGGGTTGAGCAAGGAAGAACTGATCTTCAAGTTTGATGTATTTGTTCTTTTGAGTTTAGGGTTTGACCTGAGTCTAGGCTGTACCAACAGAGGGGTCATTTACTCTAGAGCTGGGAGGGAGCTGATGCCTTTTCTACACCATTAATATAGAAGTTCCTGGATCCGGTGCTTGTTCCTATTAACTGCTCTCAACTCGCTCCAGTCTGTCTGTCTGCAAGATGCCTGACATCAGGCAGCGTCTTCAGGCATGGCTGAGAGCTCTGGGATGGGATAGCAAATCTGGTGGGACTTCTGGAGATTATTAAAATCCCCAGAGGGAGAGGGGGTTGATACACTGACAGAGTATATGCCTGGAGCAAGGGCTGGAGTTCAAGGGGACACCTTGGCTGAGTTGTAAGAAAATACACAGGGGTGTGGAGAGGAGGGAATGGCAGGTGCCCTCATGAGCGATTCATCAGATGCCTCCTCCTGCTTCTGTTCAAGCAGCAACTGGTCAGGTGGTGCCTTTTCGGGTAAGAGATCAGGCCAGTCTGACACTTGCACACCTGTGTCCTTTCTTGCAGGAACGCTATCGACAGGACTGTAACCTTGCAGTACAGCTGCTCAAGTGTAACAAATCCCACTTCAGGAACCACAAGTTTGCTGATGTGAGTAGCAGTCCTGCTGAGGTGGGGAAGAAGGGCTCATAGTCTCCGCCTGCAACTTGCTTTCTCCAGCTTTCTCTGCAGGGCTGTTGGCCTCTCATCCTTCAGCCTCAGATAGAGGTGTGGGGGGAGGGCTCCTGTTCCCACTCCCACTGAGAAGGCAGCACAGAGCCTCTGCCAGCTCCTCTTTCATGCCAGCTCCATTTCACAGCTCAGCCAGGAGCTGTTATAAAAAGCACAATAACCTTGAATTTGATAGCCTGCTGGGTGCCTGATGGGAGCTGGCAGGAGGACAGACCTCTTTCTTACCCTGCTCTGTTCTCTTCCCTTCCTCACCTGGCCACATGGAAGGGTCACGCTGCCTGATAAGGAGTCAAGCAGCAGTAGTCTGGCCCTGCTTCACTACTTGCTCTGAGGAGAAATGTGGGAGGCAGCATTCAGGGTGTCTTTTAGGGCTCCTGAATGGGGTAAGATGGTACCAACTCATGCTCCCCCTTGTGGCATCTGTTCAGCTCATCCTGCCCTCAGGTTGGGCAATGACAGAGTTTAGGCCTTTCATATTAATAGCATCACTTCTTTGGTTGGAAGTATCATTCAGGCCCTTACCCCAGCTCTCTCTTTGCTGTACCCCTAGTCTCCATCCCTTCTTATGTTCCTCTCAGCAAAACCACGTGCTTGTCTCTTTTAACTTAGCAGGTGACCAATATGTCACCCTCCCCCTCCCCCATTGTGTCTCAAATTAGCACTCTTGAGGTCAGTGTATCAGTTACTGCTGGGGTAACCTTGACCTCTCTCCCAGCTGTCTCCCCTCCCTGGAGCTTTGAATTCTGCCCCCCAGAGCGCTGCGTCCCACGTGGCTGCCACTGGAGGGGGGGGGGGGCTGAGCAGCTGTGCAGACAGTCTGCCTCACAGCCAGCTGTTGTCATGCAGTGTGCCCTGCGTCCCCAGCTTTGGACGCAGTTTCCTTCTGGCTGTGACAGGACAGACCTTGCTGTGCCACTGAGTGGCTTGTGGAGCTCTGCTCTACACTTCATGCTCTGCATGGGTGTGGTGACCAAGGTGAGGGCAGCTTGGCAGCGTGTGAGCAGCTGTGCAGACAGTCTGCCTCACAGCCAGCTGTTGTCATGCAGTGTGCCCTGCGTCCCCAGCTTTGGACGCAGTTTCCTTCTGGCTGTGACAGGACAGACCTTGCTGTGCCACTGAGTGGCTTGTGGAGCTCTGCTCTACACTTCATGCTCTGCATGGGTGTGGTGACCAAGGTGAGGGCAGCTTGGCAGCGTGATAGGGAGAGCAGAAATGCCCATTTGCAGGACAAGGAGCAGTGCTTACTCCCTGTTGAGACCCCAGTCCTGCAGCTTTGGTAATAAACCCCATGTTTGCCTCTCTGAAATGGAGAGAGTGAGGAAGTGGGATGAGGTGGTGGAGTTTGTGGGAACAAGGGAAGGCATCGATTCTGGTCTGTGGGCAGGCTGCCAAGGCAGCATGGCTGCAATTACTGCATTCGGGGAGCACTGTGTATCCCAGCACTGGGGGCTGTTGAGTCACTTCAGTGCAACCACCAGCTGATTTTCCACAGATCAATAGACCCCTTCCTAGCATGTGCTGGCTGGGCCTTGTCTCTGTGCTCACAGGCGTGGGGGACTGAGCCCGTGTGCCATCTTTTCTTGTTCTCCTTGCAAAATGGGGCCCATGAACCATGGCCTAGAAACTTGAATGGTGTGACAGCTAGAAAGCCTTGTTAGTCCCTCATGGGGCAGGTTTGCTTTGGAAAGAGATACCTTTCTCAAGGCAAGGTAAGTGAATGTTAGGGTCAAGATAAGGAGTACAAAGTACACATGAAGGTTGTTTGGAAAAAGCAGATTATTTGGAACTAAATGGCTTGCGTGGCAGCCCCCTTCTAATGTCCTTTTCCTTCTCCCTAGCTTCCCTATGAGCTGCAGGACATGGTCAATAAGCATTTGCACAGCGCTCAGGAGTCCACAGGCCCTGGTCAAGAGGCAACCCACACCTTGGCTCCATCTGATGTTGTGCCTACCTCAGTCATTGCCAGAGTCTTGGAGAAACCAGAATCTCTGGTTTTGAATTCAGCCAAGTCTAGCAGTGGCAGCTGTCCCATGGCTGAGGATGTCTTTGTGCATGTGGACATGAGTGGAGCCCCTCCTGATGCCTGCAACATGGGAGGGCAGATGGGGAAGGAGGGAGGAGATGCAGGGAAACAGCAGAATGGTGCCTGCAAGCCACAGAGCAGTGTGGAAAGCGTGCCAGAAGAGGTGCCTGCCTTTGAGAAGCTAAGCCCATACCCTACACCCTCTCCTCCCCATCCTATGTACCCTGGGCGCAAAGTGATTGAGTTCTCTGAGGACAAGGTAAGGATCCCAAAGAATAGCCCCCTGCCCAACTGTACATATGCTACGCGCCAGGCCATCTCACTCAGCCTGGTACAGAGTGAAGATGAGAGCTGTGACAGGCTCCGGACGCTCCCCAACAGTCCTGCTTCAGAAGGGCGCCGTTCAGCCTCCAGCTGTTCCTGTCAGCAGTCCCCCAAAGCAGCCAGGGCTCACGGCTCTTCCCAGAGCAGCCCATTCAGCAGCCCTCCGCAAATCCCGAGCGCCTTCGCCAGCTCTGCCAGCTCCGAGGAGGACCTGCTGGCCAACTGGCAGCGTATGTTTGTGGAGAAGGCACCCCCCACCTCAGAGCGGGTGCTGATGAACCGCACGGCCTTCAGCCGTGACACAGCCCCTGAGCTCCAGAAGAGGTTCAGCCGCTCCATGCAAGAGCTGGGTAGGGCAGCCTTGGCTTACTCAGATGGTGAAGAGTCTGCGCAGAGCTGCAGCTGGACCGTGAGCCGGGACTCAAGCGTGGACACAGACAGCACTGAGTCCAGAGCCCACAGGAGCCATTTCTCCTCAGACTATGGTACAGATTTCTCCCAGGATGAAGCCCAGAAGCTGTTGCAGGAAAGCGGTGGAGGCACTGCTGAGCCTGGAAGCCCCTCACCACAGAAGCACAAGGACTATGTGGACCTTGGCTTGCCTGAGAGCCCAGCTGAGGAAAGAGAAATGTTGCTTCAGGGAAGCAAGGAGAGCAACCAAGGAGGTGCTCAAGAGGAAAGTGGAGAAGGCAGGGTCAAGCCTCCCTTCAGTCGGCCACACCGCAGCCCCAAGAGGATGGGGGTCCACCACTTACATCGCAAGGACAGTCTGACGCAAGCCCAGGAGCAGGGCAACCTTCTCAGCTGAGGCAGGGCAAGAAGCAGCCACACGCTGCAGAGCTGTGGGATGCCTCCATCTGTCCACCTTCTGAGGGAGAAACCTCCCTTAGTACTCTCCTCCTGGGGGGGCTCTGCTCTGAAATTTTATATTTATTCTCTTCTTCTGCTACCTGGAAGAGCTGGGGTCCCCCTTCCCTGGCACCTCAGACCCACAGTACTAGCACACACAGTGTGCAGAAGCACACCCACTGCCCCAGCACACTTGCAGCTCTTTTCACAGCCTCACACTGGTGCCTGTACCAGAGCTCGTTCTTGGTACCCCTCGTCCTGGTGCCTGTGCCTCTTTATGCTCGCATCTTCCTTCCCACTCAGGTACCTGAGGCCCTGGGTGCTCTCATGCTGGTTGCCCACAGCTGCTCTGCTCTCTTTTAACTTGTGCCAACAGGGCAGAGTGCCTGCGTGGTGGTGTCTGATTCCTGGGAGCCTGCAGGGGCCATGAGTGGGGCACGAGGACTCCCAGCGGATGGCTCTGGGCCCCTGGGGATGTGCTGGGATTGCTGGTGTCTCATTTTCCTGCTGGGTTTTGTTTTCCCTGGCTGCCCTCTGGGTGATTCTCCAGAATCTGCCTCTGCAGGTCCCCATCACTTGGCTCCTGTGTCAGGCTCAGCACCTGGCCCTGCTGAGGCAACACACGGATGCTGGTGCTGTGGCATGGGGCATGGGTGCTCTCTACCGAGGTGGTTTGGGGAGGCACTGCCTGCTAGGCGCTGGGGTTTGTGTTTGTGTGTCTCCTCCCTCACACATCTTCCCCCGCTCTCTGTGCTGTTATTTTGTTTGAACGGTGCTGATGCTTTGCTCTTGGGTGGGCTTCTTTCTTCTTTCCAAGCCTTTGGTTTTGGGGTGTATTGTTTTTTCTTTCTCCCCACCCTGCATAAACAGACACAGCCGTTGGCAGCCGGTCCAATGCCTGCGTTGAGGGTGTGTTGAAGAGGCTCAGCTCTCAGAGCTGCGCTTCCCTCTGATCCTGGCCTCCAGCCTGCAGAAACCCCTCCAGACTCAAGAAAAAGGTCTTGCCCCGGGCAAGCAAGGCACGAAGGACACTACTGGGCTTTTCTGGGCAGTGCTCGGTGCAGGGTTGGCAGGGATGCAAGGGCAGTGTGCTGAGGAGCTGCTCCCTGTAGACGCACTACCTCACGGCTCGGCAGCAGCCCTTTGCCAGGGTCTCCTTGCATGCCCCCTTCTCTGGGGGGCTCCAGGCTGGCTCTGGTGCCTCTCCGGGGCCTCCCCTTCTGGGTAGGGCCTCTCTGCGTGTTTTTCCTAGTGTAGCGTGATATTGTGTGACTTTTCTTCTCAGTCTTGTGTGCTCGATGTCTTGTTGGGGGGGGAGGGAAGGGGAGAGGTCTGTAGATGTAGGTATTTTTTTGAGGGCTTACAAAGCCCAGGCGTCCTGTTTTAATTTTGTCCTGTGCCCTCCTCTGTCTGGTGTTTCTTGACTCCTCCAGCGGTGTGAGGCAGAGAATAGCCTGGTTCCCTGTGCTGTGCCCCCCTCAAACCCTGCTGGCTGTCCTCAGCCTGCTGTCTGGTTTTTGAGTTGGGTTTGTGTTGTCCTCCCACCCTACTCAATGAGGGCTTTTCACTGGACTGTAGGAGAGCAGCCCTCTGTCCAGGAGGGAGCTCCTGTTCATATGCTTACAGCAAGATGTGCAGCCAAGAGCTGCCTGGGGGCCCTGCTCCCCTCCACAAACCCCTCTCTCTGCAAAGGGCCTGCAGCTTGCAGCTGGGGCCAGCCGGGGCTTCAGCTTGAGCCTGGAGGCTCCAGGGCCTGTGAAAGGGAGCTGCAGGCCTCTCTGGTGGCTGTGTAGGTCGGTTTGTGTACCCTGGCTAGAGCTGCTGCCTACACACTTGCCTTGTTTCCCACCTCAAACAGTTGTGGAGCTGGATGCCACCCTCTGGTGGGGAGGTGGGACTTGGTATTTCACTACAGTATTTTGCTTGATACCTGTGCAAACAGGCTGGTGCTGAGAGCGGGAGCCTCCTCTGAGCCTGCAGGGTGTTCATCTCCCCTGTCCTGAACGTGGTGGTGCGGTCCTTGTTTTTGCTCTCATCAGCTGCTCCACTGCTGCATTTGTTCTGTTCTTCTGCAGTGTTGCTGAGGGCTTGCAGCTGCAGCGGTTGCCAGCTCCTGCCTCACGGACATCACCTGGGGTTGGATGCTCACTGAGTGAGCTCCTCTGGCTCTGAGGCTGTTGGTGGCTTGCCTGTGGGACAGCACAGCCACTTGGGCCATCGGGCAGGCATTGCCACTCAGGGCTCAGCCCCATCTCCCCTGAATCCTGGCATGCTGGTCAGGGGACAAAACCTGCTCTTGCTGAAGCAGCTGGTGTTGATGGTGCTGGGCAGAGCCAGCCTCCCTCTGCTTTTGGTCAAAGTAGACTTAAAAGCAAAACAATGGAGAAATGGAGGGGTTGTAAAGGGGTGCCCAATGCCTCACCAGACACTTCTGCTTCACAGCTTTAGGCTGCTGGCAGAGGTTGAGGGGGAGCGGTGGCCTCAAGAGGAGCAGAGCCCTCTTTCTCGGCGGGCACAGTGCCTGCCCTCTGCACTCCTGCACACCTCCAGCAGTATTGGCTCTGGGGCCTTGAGCTGACCCCGCTTTCAGTGTCCCAACTCCAGACTGTTAATCTGTAACTAAACTAATGTGTTTTTTTCTGAAATTTTCAAACTGATGTATATTTTAAGACCAGAAATAAACTATTTTAAAAGTAGGTGGCAATGGCTATAGTGTTCTCTCTGTTGGTTAAGACCTGGACTGGACCGATCCTGAGCATGTGAGGGAGCAGAGCCTCTTGTGGTACAATGTCCCAAGTTTGCTGAACTGCATGTGCCACCCACTAGCTCTCCCAGGGAGAGCGATCCTGTGACCGGTAAGCTTTCCAGGAGGCTGTGAATTCACTGGTCATCCTGAGCGCCCACTTTAGCAGCAGCCTGGTTCAAGGTGCTTGTGCAAATCAAGTCATCTGTGTTGGAGAAGAGGCGCAGTCCCAGGCAAGGAGTGATGTGTGGGATGAGTGGTGTTTTAATTCTGTAATCGTATCCAAGCTCTGGAAACTGTTCTCCGAGTCTGAATGTAGACTGTCAGCTCAAAGATCAGGCTGAGCCTGCAGACCAGAATCTTGACTCGGAAGCTGACAGCGGCTTAAAAAAAGGACAGATTATTTAACCAGGCAACTTTGAGAAACAGTAAAAAACAATGATGTGGGCAATTTTCACATTACGTAAAGGCTAGGCTTGTCAAAACCTCTGCAATGTAGCTTGCCATGCTATAAGCAGCCTCAGTGTTTCTCATGAAATTCTGCCTACCCCATTTCAAGTATTTTGCTGGCTGTCCTGTCTGATCTATGTCTTGGCAAAGACTTCCATGTGCTGATCTAGAGTAGGATGAGGTGGAGCTAATTCTTTTACTATTCATTGGTTTTCCTGAAGCCCCAGCTCTGGAGTCATGCGAGAGTATCAGTTCTCCATTTCAGAAACTGAGTTACGTGGGAACATGTAACATACCCCCTCCCTGGAATTCATAAGAGTTTTATAATTCTAGTGTCAGTATTTTGTTATTTTTTATTTTGTGTGGGGAGGGAGGATTGGGGTTGATTGGACACAACTCAGATAGGAGGCCCTGCGAACATGAGAGGGAGTTCCTGTAGGATATTGATATGGACATTTGGAAGCATTTCCTTTTCATACTGAATGGTGCTGCAGAGATCAGAGATGAAATTTCCTCCAACTCCCAAGTTATGCTGCGTGTGCCCTTCTGACCTAGGTGTATGCAAAGCATAACATAGGAAGAGTTTCTTGTTTCTTTGTCCCCATAATTAATTATTTTATTCTGTGTTCCCTTGGCCAGCAGCTGCTGCCACAATTTAATCTTCCAGCCTAATCCGAGTCTTGAAGCACAATCACCTTCCTTGCCTAGCTCCAGCAAGGGGCACGTGGCCGAGCAGTGAAACCCCCAGTGCTGGTGTGGGCTGAAACCTTCACCAGAGAGTGCACGGCTGGTGCCAAGCTCCCTGCAGATGGGCTCTAGCCCAGCCCTTTACCTCCGGGGCAGAGGGACGGCCTGGGGGACAGCAAATTGGACCTCCAGGGCCAGGCAAGCACCGTGGAGAACCCGCCTCTGCAAGGACGGAGAAAGCCCGCAAGCCGGCCGGGCGGCGGGGGCGAGGGGCTGCTGCCGCCTGCCGGTGCTCCGGGCCCCCCTGTCGGCGTCTGCCCCATCGGGGGCACGGAGTGACGGAGGCTCACACCACCATGAGTGGTGCCACGTCTGTGACCTTTATAAAACTCTCATCGCGACAGCAGTACAAGCAATAGAAAGAACATCTCTTATACACATCTGAATAAATACAGCCTGCGCCCTGCGGGGACAGCCGAGCACGGCGGGGGGGAGGCAGGGCAGCGTGAGCTACACATGCAGCAACTGGACAATCACAAGTGGCCGACGGGGCGCGTGACAACACAGAGACGTGTGTAGAGTTTCGCTCAGACCAGGCTCTGGCACTCAAGAGAGCTGAGGCATCAATAGGACGTGAAATGTGTGAGAAGACGGCTGGGGCAGCCCACCGGAGGCAGGGGCGCTGGCGGACACACACTCCCCCAGGCACAGTGCTCTTCCCAGCAGAAGCAGGCAGGGTAGCCCAGCTACATTTCTGTTTCTGCTAAGAGGCTGTCACCGAGACCTGACGTCATCAGGACCATCTGGGAGCTGGAATCTGTGGTGAGAGAGGGAGAAAACCGTGAGCCGTTTGGGCTGCCGGAGAGCGCGGAGCTGTACTCCAGATCCAGAGGTGAGGATGAGGAATTAGAGCGCTGTAGGTGGGAAGCAAACTGCTGAGAGGATTGTGAGATTAAGTAGTAACTAGGTCTACTCTGGCCATGCAGCAGAACAGAATCGATGTTTGGGGAGGGGGGAAGGCAGAGACAGCAGCAAGAGCCCAGGGTGGGGATCTGCACTTGTTATCTTGGCTGTCAAGAGGAATATCAGCTCTGAACCCTCCCCACATACACTTTCAGGTGATACTGGTTGTGCTGACCCAGCCGTGCCCTTACCCAGACCTTTAAATCTGCGCTCACCAAGTGTCTTTTCAACTAGAGAGACAGTGTCCAGGTGGGACGGGCTGGCAGGCTGCAAGCCAACTAAACTCACGTAGGGTGGTGGTGTTGCTTTCCCAAGAGCAGGGACCACAGCGGGCAAGCAGCCATTTTATGTCAGCAGAGGCCTGGAAATCCCGATTTTCTGCACTGCATGAATGGAGGGTTTGTGCAGCCCTCCCCTGCCTGCCTCAGGAAGGTGAGGGCAGCTTGCTGGCTCTGCGACGGCACAGAGCGCCAGCCAGGAACGCTGCGACTCTCCCCACGCCAAGTGAATCAGCTGCAAGGAGGATGGGCATGCATAGCAAGTAAGAAACTCAGCAGGGTACCAGTTTCCCATCCAAAAGCCTTTTTAAACTGAAAAAAAATTGTTTTTCCTGGATGTGAGGGAGGAGATCTTTAATGCCCATGTGCTTCAGATCCAGAGTCCTACACATTCAAAACTGCTGTGTAAATTGATCCATTTTGGGGATCAATTTCTGGAAACTGGATCCAAAACCTGGCTAGAGCTGTCAGTAAAGGATTTTTATGGCTCTAATAAATGAGGATCCAGATTTTTTGAGGCCCAGGGAGTGGTTGTGCTTGTCTGCTGCTAGTCTGATATGAGAATTGGGAGGGGGGAAGGACAACTAAAGGTAAAAAAAAAAAAAGCCAAACCAGCAGGATCATAAGGTAGGCATGGCAATATACAATATCACATATACAAACAACACACAACAGGCTACTGCTATCTCCATAACATACTTTTTTTCCTGTTACAAGCAACTGACAGGCTGTGGCACCTGGCTAACCCTTCACACATTTGGGATGCAGAGATAGGAATAGCTGATGCTGTGCGGATTGCAGGGAGGTTCTGGAAGCAGTGAGGAATGACACAAGTTTTGGCTAGGATATCTGGCAAAGGCCCCCAAGATCTTTAATGCTCCTGCCCTTGAGTTTTAAGACTTTGCACAACGATTTCATTCCTGCAGCATCAGGGAAAACACCTCTGAGGTACCGTTTCCACTCTGCAGCAGCCGCATTGTCCTTGCGGGCTGCCTTTCCACGCATGGCTCAGCCCAATACTATTTAACATGAAGGTCATGCCTGGAGGCTGTCTGGATTTCAGTTCACAGGGAGAAGGGACAGACCCCATTCACCAACCCCACCATGAGAGACCAGTGGCACTGGAAACACCCCAGACACCCCAATTCCTGCCTGTCAGCCCCTGCCCGCAGCCCAGGTCCCGGAGTTCTTACTGTTCTGGCAGATCCAGGGGTTCTTCTCCCTGGCTGTGACTTCGCGAGCCTCTGTCTCCTCCTCTTCCTCACCCTCTGAGAGCAGGTCAGAGATCTGCTGCTGCAGCTCAGGACTAATGTTGTTCTCCGCCAGGATGAGTGTCCGTAGGGCTGTGGGGTAATTCTCTACCATGTCCAGCAAGGTCTGGGCGGAGAGCGAGATAAGCAGGCTGACAAGCAGCACAAACAGCAGCTAGGCTGAGCAGAAAGAGCTTCAGTGCTCTGTCTCCCTGCAAACTCCAGCCCTCCTCTTCTTACCTCTACCTTCCCTTGGCCTTGAGCCTCCTTGGCCAGGCTTTCTGAGAGCCTGAGGACTTCCCATCTTTTTGTGGGAAGAGCCGAGCCTGGATTTCCTGGCTCTATCTAAAGAGGAAGGGACTGCTCTACACCTTGTTGCTGCCACATATCCAGGCTAGTCCCCTCTTACCACTGGGAGCTGGGGCTCTGAGAGGAGAGTCTGTGCTACCAACCCTTGGTCCCTACCTGTCCACAGGGCTTTCGCTCTGATCCTCAGTCACAAGTCCAACCCCTTACTTCTTCCAAGAAAACCAAACTACAAATAGAGCCACGTGTTTCTCCCTGCTGACTTGAGGGAGATCCAGGAGCCCTAGGTCAGAGCTGTGGCTTACAAGCTCCTCCTGTGGCCAAATGCAACGGGCCAGGGGAAAGCAACAGCGCCCCTGGGCGCAGGGAGGGACGGGGGAGGGGGACGGAGGCAGGTATAGGTCCTAGGGCCTCTATAAACAGCCAAGACCTATGCCCTTGAGACATCAGTGATGCTGTAGAGTAACTGTAGGCTCTCATACCTGGGCTGACTGGTTGGTAAGTCCTGTTCCCTCCAAGTCCAGAACTTCGAGGGTTCGACTGGAGGCCACAGCGACGGCAAGCATCCCTGCTACCTGGTCACCTGTGGGAGAAGCAAACCGGGGCTGTCAGCAGTGCCTGCCTTCCCTCATGTAATACCACATGCCCTCATGGGCCTGGGGCTGTTACGGAAACATCCTCTGAGTATTTCTGCCATCAGACAACCTCCAAATCTCAGTTACCTTGGGGGGAACAAAAAGCCGTTAACTGAGAAAAGAGACAAGGTAAAGGTGCACCATTTTGTGGTTACGGGACCAGTCACTGATTACCAGGGGGAACACGAAGGAACACAGTGAAATTGTTTTTATTCCCCAAGGAACCTTATCTTCCCAAATCTCCTTCCTACTCAAGGATGCGAGGGCCTTTAACAGCCCTTGTAAGGCATCCCAGACATAGAATAAGGAGTTGAATACCTCAGTCTAGGGGGAGGTTGGAGCTGGACAGAGGACTCTGCACCAACTGATGGGCTGCCTCTCTGGAAAGGGGGCAGACTTTTGGGGGTGGTCACAGCAGGACCAGGAGCATTAAAGATTGATGCTGGTGAACAGACAAGACTGACATTCCCCAGTGAGTGCCAAGATACTGTACAACTGTGAGCCCTTCTCTTGGAAAAAAAACAGGCTGCTGTTTTTTTCCCTAACTTAAGGCCCCCAGGTAACACCCTGGGGCCTTTCCTGCCCAAAAGGAGGTAGCTGGTCAGACGGACAGGGCCTGGAGGGAGGCTCTGTTTCCAGATGGGGTGAGGAGGGGAGCGCCCTGCTGATGCTCAGGGAGGCATGGCCCCATCTCCTCCTCACCACCTTGCAGCAGAGCTGGAGAGAGTTGGTTTCTATGGCAACGAGTGCCAGGCTCTCCTCCTCCTCCTCCCTGCTCCCCGGGAACATGAAGGGGGGAGCGCGGGGACATACTGCGTCTGCCAAGCCAGCATCAGTGCCCAGGGCTTCAGGAACAGGGGAGACATGGAGGGTCAAACGTGACAACAAAGGCAGTGGAGCAGGCAAGGCACAACCTCCTTTCTGCACCTCCCCGCAGGGCACGTGGCAGGGTGAACTCGCTGCTGGGGACCAGAAAGGGACCTATGCAAGAAACTGCCCCATCCTGCTGGTGATGCTCTGCCACCCTTCTAGAGCTCAGTCCCTGGCCACCCACCAGCGCAAATGGCACAAATGCCAAGAGGCAGGTGTGCAGCGTGCCCTGCTCCTCCTCCCTGCCCCCCCAGCTTACCTAGGGGGTTGTAGTCCAGGTTCAGCACGCGGAGCTGTGAGCTGTGAGCCACTGCAATGGCCAGGCGTCCCCAGCCTTTGCTTGTGACGCCTGGGTTGGCGCTCAGCGTTAGCTCTTTGAGGCCTGGAGAAGAGAGAGAAGCCAAACCAGAGCCTTAGGGTCACCAAAGCAGTCTCAGGGGAACTAGTTCAGCTAACCAGAACTGCTCTGAGTCATGTCCCCTGTACTCCGACGGGCTAAAGGGTTTGGTTTGCTCTGAGAACTGTAATCACATATTTCACTGATCAGTGAAATATTTCACTGCCTTCAGCAGTAGCCCTTCATTTGCCCATGCTGTGACTGCCCCGTTTCTCTGCTCTCCCAACCTGTGTCCTCCTTAATCTAAATAGCAAACACAATGGAAACAAGGGGTGTGTGAGGTAACTGACCAGGAGAAGGAGGTGGCACAAGGTGACAGGTTGGAAAGAGGGTAACAGGGACAGTAGGCTCTGAAGCCTGCACCTGGGAGGGGTGGCCAGCAGAGATAACAGCATCAGTGGCACTGTGAGCACGCAGGGGAGAAGGTGCTGGAGAGAGGTGGAAAGCACCTTGAGAGTCAGGAGAGAGCGGTGGTGTTACCTCAGCACATGCCAGCTCTCAGCTTAACTGGCCCATTGGCCTCTGACCACCAAAGGTCATCCCCTGCAAGGATCTGAGTCTTGGCACTAAGGCTATGACCATGCAACTATACACCCACAGCGTGCACCTGCAAGCAGGGACAATTCCCAGGCGCTGACAATAAAGCCAAGTGCTGAGGTAGGGGCACACCATACATTTATCTACAGTCATTATCCACACACAAATGCAAAACAATAAATTCAAAGTCCAAGCTGTCACCTCCTCCAGTTTCAAATGCTCCTGTCATGAACCAGAAGCAACCTGTTGGTCCCTGAGCTCCAAACTGCCCGCAGGACAGATCAATAGCAGAAACTCCATGCCTGACCAAGGGAACCGCTCCTCAGTTGCTTGGGTTTTGTGCTTTACTTAAAGAAATTCCTCAGCCCAGGCAAACTACAGAGCCTGCCTCCTCCAGGGCTGAGGATTTATTGCTGCATGCATCTGCTCCATGTGAAGCTCCACTGGTCATTGTGCAGCCCACAACCCCTGGTGCTTACCGGACTTGGCCCCGTCAGGCGGCAGGAGCCCACAGATAAGGTTGATGCCTTCATCACCCAGCATGCAGTCTCCTAGATCCAGAGCCACCAGCGAGGGGTGGATGGAGAGAGCAGGGTTGAGGAGGGCCAAGCCTGCATCTGTCAGGGGACTCCCATGGAGGCTGTGCAGGTAAAAGGGAAAATTACTAAGCAGCCTTCTTCCAGGGGGCTAACTAACCCTACGGGGAGGGAGAAGGAGACAAAATGAGGAGGATGACAAATCCTAACCCCAGGTGGGGAAAAAGCGCTGGGAAGCCTCTGCTGCGAAGGTCAGCCAGCCACTACGGCGACCCTTCTCTCCTGGCCGGGACGAGGGGGTGCAGGGGATGCCAGTGGGGCAGAAGCAGCCCCTGCCACCGGGGCAAGCCAGATTGGAGGGGCCGGGACGGAAAGCCAGGGCCGTGCCCAGCCGGCGGGGGGAGAGGTGGCTCCCTCCCAGCCGGGTGAAGGGCGAGGGGTTACCCTCTGCAACGTCAAGGGCGTTTTTCCTCCGACGAGACTTAGATTCAGCGGCTGACCCGGAGCTGCGAGCCCCTGAAAGACCCGTCCCTGCCCGGGAGGGGGGCCAGGGGCACGCCCCGCAGCCCCCCCGCCCCGCTGTACTCACAAGAGGGACTGGACGGAGCGGTTTGTCTTCAGGGCCTCGGCCAGCTGCTTGACGCGGTTGATGTTGGAGACGATGCCCAGGTTGAGGTTGAGCTGGGCCAGGGAGCAGC